ATGTCACTCGATATGTCAGCCAACGCGCCCATTCTCCGTACCTGTCAACTGACCGGCTGGGACGGTGGCTGAGGTCTGGGAATGGGAAGCGAGAGTAAGGTCGAGGACTCGGCGCATTTTCGTCACTATAAATAATCTGAGGCGCTTGAAGCTATCACAGTGTGCTAAAAGCCGTGGCTTGGAAGGTTATCAACTGATGAGACAACTTGAAACTCGCAGTTGGCCCAGTGTTGTGTGCATTTGTGTGGAGCGGCCGACTGGTGGTCTCGGAGTCAGGCTGCAATGGCTCCTTCTTAATGTGGCCTTTATGGCGCTCCCACTTCATGGGATCGGCGTCGGGTATGACGGCACGCCTAGGTGGGGCTTCGGCTGTGCCAGTCTCCATTCTTTCGTCGATGTTGGCTGAAATGCTGGTGAAGTGTGTGCTGTAGACCAGGGGAGGTGGAGTGGAGCGCCAAGGTGCGGATCCGGCCGTGCCAGCCACCGGCGCCCTCCCCCACCTCCGGTCTTCCTGACTCTGTCTTGACATCGGGTCCAGGTGGGGAGTGGGGAAGAGAGAGAGAGAGAGAGTGAGCGGTGGATCCTGTGCATGCCCGATATCACTTTAACCTTAATCACGCGCAAGTCACGGTGTGCTGTAGCTTGCTGTGGAACACACGATGGACATCGTCGGCAACGACGGTCGAACTGTTGCGCGTGCGTGTGTTTGTGTGCAGATGGATTGTTTGGCCGGTGGACGGAGTGTCAAGCTGCAATGGCTCCTTCTGAGTGTGGCCTCTATGACACTCCCGGTCAGAGGACACCTGAGTCTGTCCCTTGTTTCTCTGAATACCTGGTTAATTGCGCGCTGACCAGACAATATGTGGCCCCAGCAGATGGGCTGTTCTGTTATGTTAGTCATAACGCTGAATCCCATTTTCTGTTGTCCTGACTCGGTATTGCCGCGGCAGATGCGGCACAAGTCCATTATCAGTATAAACTAAGTCACGCCAAAATCACCGTTCTGCTACTAAAGCGCCGTGAGTCACACGGTCGACACTCTCGTTTACGAAGTTCGGATTGACACATACAGCTTTGCAAACTGTAGGAAAGATGAGAAAATAGTTGCTTCTCATTAAAACCTGTTGGTGGGAAACTCCGGGTTGGCAGACGATTTTCTTGACAAAGGATGTCGACGCATTTATGGATGAGGATATATTTTAGAACTTTTGCTCTGTTCCGTTAACGAAAATTAAATGCCTACTAATAAAACTATGCTGAAGATGAGGCTTATGTGCGTCGTCGTCAGTTTCTACTGCGCTTTCTGAAATGGGAACCATTGTTCCGTGCGAAATTATCCGCATTGAATTAAACAGGCCACAAAACAATCGCTAAGTCATCAGGATATTTGGTGTTGATATATTCGCTACCCAGGAAAGTCTGTACTCTAGCATTCACGCAGAAAACGACAAAATATTATTGGCTCACTGGAGCGGAACGGTTATGAGATTAAGTGCCGTGAAACCTGAGCGGAAAAGCGTCACGCATCTAGCGGAATGGCTCCAGATGAGGAAGGTTGACACAACATATGGCAAGTTCCGTAAGTTATCCGAAACCCATAAACTTAGCGAGACCATCTCCGGACCCGACTAAGCGCGGAAGCAATACAGCTTGGATAGATCAAAAGAACTTTGATTGGTTCGCAGTTCACTAGACCGTTTGTAGGCCTGGCTCCAACGCCCTGGAAAAGCTACCGTTAGCCACTAAAAAGGGTAATATAAGAACGATGTGTCGTCGGATCGTTGTCAGTGTCATGTCCGCAGATTCCTACTAGAGTTTGAATGTGTTTCCTCATCCAGAACATATAAACGTTTAAGACGCACCCAATGGCTGCATCGTTTTTTTATTGCCATTGAAGTATTTCTGGGCAGAACCAGTTTTGACAAAAACCGTGCCGGCTGTCATTAATGACAAAAGCTGGGCTGGTGAACACATTTTAATTTTTTAATATTAACCCTACACTATAGACAAAAATCCGGGATGTTCAACCAGTGATGGACTATCATCCACACAAGATGCCTCCATGTATAAACCTTTTTCAAAATTATTTTTTGATCCAATAAACGTTTTCCCTACTAACACGTCTTCAAAATAATTCTTTTTGGTCGATCTAGTTGTTTCGGTTGCAATAGTCACGTGAATCTGCCTGTTCATCGCGTTATAAAGTGAACAACAGCAGACCTAGTAAACCGGGTTTGGGATGACTAAGGCGAACAGACGATAATAAAATTAGGTATGGGTATAAGGGCAGTTAACCGCAGCCTGCGCATGGCCTGACGTGTCTCTATCGCCGATTTGAGAATATCTCGAAAAATAGATATCTACTCGATATCTGGATCGCGGACAAAATCGATATCTAATAAATATAAGTATCTCGGAAAATAGATATCTAATAGATATCGTCTCGATATAGTTTGCTACCAGGGTTACTACAAGTCATATATTAGTTGAGAATCCTCTCCATCGTCGCTATTCGAATGTGGCCAACCAGGCGCTAGAGTAACATAGTCATGCAAATTTTCGTACTCCATAGAGGGGGCAACAACGCTGTTTTATCTCAAGAGATGCCGTAAAAAAGTAAAACACTGCATCTTATTTACTGAGATTAGTTCAGTATAGATGTGGACACATGAGCGGTCGTACGTTAGTGGAGGAAAAATAGGCCACTTTCTTTGATGGCTAAGCGCAAAACACGGCCTGAAATAACCCCCACTTCATTGGTAGTTAAACCCCAGGCCGAGGTTAAAAACGCTCTACCAAGAGGCACACGCAGACATGGGACGGGCGTAAATGGATTCATCGTCGCGCTATGCTTCCTCCGGCTAAGCAGCTCCTATGCACAGATTCAAGGTGACTTATTCGTTGAAGGCAAGGACCGCAACGACAAGAGAACCGATATAATATCACTTTCCTCATTCCTTGATAACCCCTTCATTTTGTGAATTTCGACAAACAGATAAGGCACTTGTCGGGAGGTCTGGTTAATAAAACCCGGGATACTTAATGCGCTGCCACAGCCGACGACACCCTTTACTAATGTGAGGTTGGGTTGAAATTCCATCTCCGGCGGTGGAAAATTTCATAGCATGTACTTCATGCGAAGGCTATCCCTTCTTCCTATGTTGTTGTTAATTGGCAGGCAGAGGTTTCTGTGTGATTGATTCGACGATCCTAGTTCAGTTCGTGTTGCCGGTTTTCAGTCATTGTTTGACTGGTGCGTTAACTGTCTTCTCACAATGTCAACGTGCCTGCTAAATGCAAAATAACGGTCATTAATAATCCGATTGAAACATTCAGCTCAATGTCAAGTGGGCATTGTGATTGTCTCCCGGCAGCTGGATGTTTTTTGTTTGCGTTTTACTTGTTTGTAACGACTCGACCCCCGTCTTTTTAAATCCCGGCTGCAACTGCCGTCATCACTGCGTGTTCTTTCTTCGGAGCCTTTTCCGGAAGCATGCCTTGCGTCCAGTTGCCAACGGTGGTTTCCGCTTTGCACCGCAAAGCTGTAGATCGAAATAACTTGGAGCTAGCAGGATGATATCGTCGGCGTATTAAAAGTCGCTCAGCCGGCACCCCGGTAAAAAAAACTTAACACGTCCTTGGGAGACTGCAGCCCATTAAGTAGTTAAACAGAACTGGCGATAGAAAGCAACCTTGACAAACGTCAACTGAAAAATTAAACGACTGTGAAAGATTGTTGTAGACTGGAGTTCGCAGTAGCAGAGCAGTAGCAGAACTTGATCACAGTGACAGTATTTCTCAACACCACCTTGTTTCATTATCCGGCTAGAACCGCAATGATGACGTAATCGAAAGCTGTAGCGAAGTCGACAAGGTAGACGGTCGTTGATTGCCAGTAAGCATGGCGGAATTCACGAAAACTCCACAATATAGCTTAGCTGTGCTTCAAATATTTACTGTATTACATACCGAACCGAGTTCATATGCCTTCCGATACTGTTAATGCATGAAACATTGTGTTCATCTCTGCAGTTTTTGATATTCCCCTTGTATTTCCTTCATGTCACTCCCTTTCCACTTTTTCCATTTACTTCCTCTGCGTGTAACAAATAAAGATTTCAAAGCTACACATCTACCTTCCCTCAAATAAACTGAACTGAACCTGCGAACACGAGGGTGACCGTTTATCCTAACTCTTCTGATTTCTTGGTCTCTTAAGCGTTCTGGAATATTCCGCCGTATCGCGTGCCAAATGGTGACGAGCGTTCCAGAAACTTCCGGTTTGTCGCGTGGCGGTCGTCGATTGGCCAACTTGTGCGCGAGAATCCCTTGCGGGTATTCGATCGGCCGCACGCGTGAGCAAAGGCATCACGCGCGCTCGATACTGAGGCGCGCGCTAATTGGCTGTCTGAATTAACATGCCGCGGCCAGCACGGCGCGTGGATGCATTGCCGTTTCGCCACAGGCCGTGGCTCTGCGCCGTTTGCGTTCTCCGTAGCAAACGGGGCCACACGGCACTGCACAGGCATGTTAGTAGTAAACGATGTGTAGGGGTGTTCATTTGTGGGTCCACGTGACGGTCGTAGTAGGTTGTTCACTTGCTTGCAGGTGCTGACTACGTCTATCGTCGATTAACTGGCACAAAACTCTCACATATGACTCCCCGAAGCTAGACTCTGCCTAGCGGTCACACCAGTCAGCGTCTACGTCCCCTGATGACCAGTCCTGATATTTCAATGGACAAATTCTACGAGGATCTGCACGCCCTCCTGGCGTCCGTGCCGACGGCGGATAAGTTGATTGACTTTAACGTCAGCGTAGGCACAGACCGTGCTGTATGGAGAGGAGTGCTGGGTCCCCATGGTCTCGACAGCTCAAATGGCAATGGCCTGTTCCTCCTACGAACCTGCGGCAAACACCGGCTCATCCTGACCAACACCTACTTCCGTATCCCCATGCGAGAGAAGGCCACCTGGATGCACCATCGGTTGCGATACTGGTATCTGCTGGACTGTGCCCTCGTCTGAAGGCGGAAGCAGCGGGACGTGCTGGTGACAAAGGCGATCCTGGGTGCCGACGGGTGGACCGACCATCGTCTCACAAGTGCAGATTTGTCTACAGCATCGCAGGAGACCCCAAGGTAAGCGACTCCCAGGTAAGCTGGATATTACTTTGTTGTCTTTCCCTGCTAACCATATCCATTTCAGCAACGAACAAGCCCGAAGCTTAGCTCGTCTTCCACTTGCCGCCGCCGCCGCCGCCGCTAATGAGAACGCCTCCGTGGAGAACCGATGGTGCCAACTGCGGGACACAGTTCAGTCGATGGTTCTGGCTGTACTCGGTCACGCAGGTCGCGAACACCAGGACTGGTTCGATGGCAACAACGCCGCCATCAGCAAACTGATTGCCGAGAGCGGCTATCCAGACTACTCTTCTACGAAAACGCCTCCACAAGTTCCCGCCGACAAAGAGGCCAGGTCTGTCGATACAAGGACACTCTGAAGACTTCCCTGATGCGTCTGCAGATCAACCCGGCCAACTGGGAAGACTGCACTCGAGACGGACTGTTCTGGTGGAGGACCGTGAAGACAGACGCAGCGATCTACGAAGCCAACCGCACCAGCGCCGTCCAGCTCTGCCTCATCCTCCACGTCGACAACTAATATTAACCGCACTCCCGAACCCCCACTACCATCTTCCTCCTCCTCCTCCTCC